ACAGTAGAGAAAAAAGAAGGTATCAGAACAATAACGGTAGTATAGATGTGTACATCCCTCTGGAGCTCCTCGCGCAGAGTCGCCCTAAATACTCAATCCTAGCGCCGATTACCTAACGCCAGACACTTGACAAACTACTGCACCACAGTATATAGTTCGCGTTGCATACACGCGTTTTGGGGCAGGGTGCGCGATTGCCTAACTAGGAAGAATTAGGGGTCGATACCACGAGGTATTGTATATTAGGCTCTAGCCTATTGTATCTATAATATGTTGTTAGAGAGTTGTAGAAGTTATAGAGTTTCCAAAGTGTTGGAGTGGGTGAACCGTACGCATAAACAGCGCTAATCTCAGATAGGCATCGTCCTATCACCAAACCGTGACACAAAGTCTTACGGTCATTGGTTTGTCCATTGCGACCACCGCAAAACTTAGATAGCTGAAGGTTTTTAGAGGGAGACAGGTGCGTCACCTGGCGCGGGGGATTTGCGTTGTAAACGGTCTCCAATCTCTAGGCCGCTTCCAACGCTATCTCGGCGTACAGCTGCTGCGCCTTCAGGGCAGTGGCCTGAAAACTTGCATGGGACGTTTACCGTAGGGACAGGTAAATCACGCCCTTCGGGGGATTTGCGTTGTAAACGGGCTTGAGTCTCAGGTTTCGGATAGGCTAGACCGATTGAGAAAAGGGCTAGCAGAGTGGTGGTTCCAAGAAAGATCTTCATTTTGACGGTTTCGGCGAAAAGACGATCTAGGAGTTAGGTTATATATTAGTCTTAGTAGGTGTACGAGGAGGTAGGAAGTTCTACCTTTAGATACTCCGATGTCCAGAAGGTAAACTACAAAGGTAAGAACTCTTGTAGATGTTAGATAGAGAAAGAATTTAGAGACTCGTAAGAGCTTATATGGCCATTAGTTAACCCCTATTGACCGGAACGCCCGGGAAACAAAACGATGATCACTTAATACCTGATTTCGTGAAATGAGGTACCTCGTAAGGTTAACGTATAGGGTTCGAATAAGACGGTCGCGGTGACCTAGGACCTAGGGAAGGTGCTTACATTTGTGTAAATCATAATCTCGGCAGTAATAACTCATCGGGTTTCTGCAGCCACCTGTCTTGTGCTATCTTTAGCTTAGGTTGTCCACAGTTGTTAGCTACTGCGAGCCGTTAATGTTATGTTCGCGCTATGCGCTATCTACCAGCATCACGACAGTAAGTAGCTATGGATCTAGCTAGCCTGGCCCTGGTGCAAAGCCTACCAACGAGTGGGCGTAGGTCACGTTTCCTGAGCTCAGCCTGCCCCGTATTGAATAGCGCCGATCGTCTGCAGGGCCACGACAGCACTCCTTCCAATGATGAGTATGACTATAGGGCGGAGGGCTGTGCGCGCGGCGCTTATCTGGGCGCAATACATTACAGTCGGCGTTGGAGTCTGTCGTTATTCCCCGACCTCGATGCCTAAGGGTGTGCGCTGCCCCTCACGCGCAAAAACCTCACACAGCATGTAATGGGCTGGAGCCCAGTTAGGAATCCTCGATGATATCTTGGTCACGTGTGCGAGACGCACAGAGCAACCACACGCGTCCGAACAACGCTTAGACCATCCGCACAGTCCATAGGCAGAAGGTTATTTTGAGCCGCTCTCCGAATAACCTTTAGCACGAGATAGCTTGTAGTTATCTTCCCCATCGAATACAACTCCAGTATACCTGTGCGATAGCTCCCTGAGCGTAGCCCCTTACACTCGTTTGTCCCAGCACGGAGGGTGTCTGTTGGGACATATGCGTACAGCCAGCCCGGCGTGGAAGCTTGGACCACTACTGTAGTTAGACCAAGCTTCCCGCTTAGCTCGCACTCGTACATAGGGAGATTTCTCCACCCAGCTCTTGCTCACTACTAACCAAATATCATATACTTTGTTCGTTGCAACGACAGCGATATTCGACACCTTTGCCGTGTCAACAGTGTCCCAGCACTCAGGGACGGACGTTACTATCGAATTTGATACTGCATGGATAGATTAGTAATAATGTTGCAGTATATGCAGTCAATCAAAGGGTAACCGCGCGAGGCAGTAATCGTTGTATTCGCTATCTGTCTGTGTTGTCGTTGTTTTTCTGCTGGCCTTGCTACAAAGGCAGCAGCAGGGTCTATTTTACATGACGTATCACCATGACGTATCACCATGACGTGACACATGTGAAACACGTGATCCGCTTCTCCTCATAACCGTCACAAATAATGTATATATTCCTGTTTCTAGCCTAATTGTGTTGAGATATATCAATTATAAGTGAGACAAAACTAACGTCCGTCTTTAAGTGCTGGGACACCCACTGTGTTGAGACAATGAGGGGTACTTTGATCTTTAACACTCCACTTTCTTCCTACACTCTAACAATCGCTGTAAGTCTATACCAGCTTCGCCTTGGGTAGGCTCGGATTTCGTGACACATCTAACTATAACTTTTGTCTAACGTTAGAGCTTTTTCGATCGTGGAGAGAATTGAGCAGAGCACAAGCACAGCGACATGTTTTGCTAGCTATTCTAATTGCGCTTTGGTGGTTGCGTAATCTTTGCGCAGGCACAACTGAGGAATGTACTGTACTTTAGTCAGTTGTAGTTAGGTTTGAACTTCAGCATTTTGCCACTCCAACATCACCTTGAAGCTCAATTAGCTGCCGAAATTCTTCAGGATTAATCTTACCTTTACCACTCATACACGATTTCATTTACCACAAGCCAATGTGAAGTCAACTTTCACCTCACATGTCACCGCACTCTTCAATATCAATACGGGATCTATGTCCCTGCTCCATTTAACATCAGCTCTCTCACCATCCACCTTAACATTGTTTCACAAATATATGCTCTCTACTTCTGCGACACTAACTTCCTATACTCGCAACATTCGAGCCTCCCGATTCTCTCTCAGCTCAACCTCACCATCCGCACTTGGCCCGATTCCCCCCGTCGCCATGGTGTACTATCGCACAATTCCCGAGATTGACAACGCCTTCCAGCGCATGGTTGGCCTTCACGACTACTTGGATCCTTCCCATCGCCCAGACGGACAGCGCGCTCTAGAGCTAGCCTCCCTACAGCCTGGACAGAGCGTCCTCGACATTGGTGCCGGTAGTGGTCGATTGATCGCCGATGCGAAGCGGGTGGTTGGCGCTGGGTTCTGCGTCGCCGTGGATGCTGTGCAGGGCTTTCTTACCATCGACATCCCTTGGCAGCTCAACCGCGCGGGCCTCACTGTGCATCCGCAAGGAACTCCCCAACAGCAAGTCCATCTTCTGTGCGCAAACGTCACCGATGGCGCTCTGCACAATCGCATCGCCGCGCTGCCTGGGGCGCCCGAGACGTTCGACTGTATCTTCGCCCTTCACCTTCTCAACACGATTCCGGCCGACCAACGTCTTCAACTCCTTCGCGACTTGCGCAAACTGCTCAAGCCTACTGGACGCCTCATTATCACTATGTCCGCCCGCTTCACGGACATCGCGACCATGCCTGCTGAGACGACCGTTCCTGTGCAATTCAGGTCCACCGGTCATACCGAAGCTCCCGGCTCCATCCTTCTCATACAAGTCACCGATACGCCTCGCGTCCCTGTCCCCCAAGGTCCTTCTCTTCCGCTCAGGCAGGTACACTTCGCTATACAGATGGCTCCCAATCGATTCTGGGTGACGGCCGCTCAACAAGCGCGCGACGCGGCGATAGCTGCAGGCTTTCTGGTCGACACTTCCCGCCCTGTAGGCAAAGGCGATTGCTTTGGCCTACCTGTTCTCGGCCGCTCGCCTCCCCAGGCTGTGCTTGACCGTACGTCCAACGAGGAGATTTGCGCACAACTGCAGGACGCCGTGCAGCATGGGTACGCGTGCATTGGCCGCGCCAACGAGACCGCGCTTAGGCGCATCATCCCTAACTGGTCATCCATGTCGTCGTCTGAGCAGGACTACGCTATGGTGATGAAGATGCAGACGAGAGCTGCTCACTTCGCAGCGAGGGTTGTGGAAGGCAACGAGGATTTGCCAGACGGCGTGCTGGCGGAGTTGGCAGAGCATAAGCAGCTTGGCGCTATGGTGGTTCTGCGCAAGGGCTGATGATACATGGCCGCAGGTGAGACTAGGCAATGACTTCGACTCTGCTTCTCAGCCTCGCGACATGTCTTCCGCCACGCACTTTGGCTCCTTCCTAATGCACGCGGCACGATGCGACCCTTTAGCTTCCGATCGGAGAACAGCAGTGCAAACGTAGATATTCGCAGGTGGCCGGATCAACACACGAAGTAATGTTCATAGGCACACCGCTGCGAGAACGGGTACCACGGTCGGTGGACGGTGGTATGCAGAAGGCAGAGTGATGCAGGTACGTAGGGTCGGATCGGCGGTTACGTATGTAAATGCAGAACTCGTTTTGACAAATGGTTTGCATTTCGCGCCAATAGGCCTATCGAGTGGTTCACTGTTCAATTGAGGGTGCCAGAAGTATCCTATCTCGATCGCCAGCATAAGTCACCTCCGGAGCATAATCTCATGATACTGGTAAGGTATAGATTGGATCACAATGCTATAATTGCAGTAACTGGTTATGTCTACGGGGTTTTGTAATTACATAATGCTCAAGCATGCCAAATGATACATCTCCTTATTCCTCTTGCTCCTTCAAGTCATCCTGTGCTGCCCGAAGTATCTCTTTCATCTCCGAGTACAGCTTTGGATTCGGAACCCTCCACCTCCCACCATTGGGGAACACCTTCCTCCGTAATCTGTTGACGTAAGGTATCAACGATTGGTAATATGGTGTAAATGTCGCCTTTGCGGTCTTAAGAAAATCACTCTCGTCACCCACCTCTCCTTTCTTTAATTTAGCCAGCTCTTCAGTGTCGATATAATTCCACTTTTCAAATTGTGGAACAACTCTTCCTTCGCTCGGCCCATCGTAATGAATACATATCCAGAAAAGCACCCAGAAGAATGACTCGAGGTCGTGCATAAACGAATGCATTTCGTCCTCTAGAAGCACTCCAATTGCCATGAACGCTCGCGTGCCGGTTTTCCCTCGTGACCCGGATGGTTTTTCGCGATTCTCTTTGATTGCAAGATCAAGATCGATTAAAAACGCGCGCCAGGAGGGATCATTGTCTTCCTCGTTGATCATAAGGTTGTTTGGTGAAATATCGCATTGTAGCATGCCAGCCCGTGTGTGAAGCGACTCGTATCCGGTGATGCAGCCTTCCATTGCAGCAAGCAGGCTAGTCTGAGAGCTCGCTTTGTAAATGGCCTTCCCGTAGTCGCGGACGATGACACGACGATGGATCCGGTTCACGATTGCAGGTTTTGTTGGAGAGCTTGAGCAAGTGCGCTTGCTAGGCGGCAATGGCAGACATGTGCAGCTCAAGGATCGCTTCCGCCCACCGACGCTGCTGCTACTTCTGTCTCTTTGCGAGGCCCGCCGTCTGGTCGTGCTCGGCGGTGGCATTGGCTTTTCTGGCTTGTAGTTCGTCGCCTTCGTTATGTCCAGGCCTTTCCGTACGTTTGCGCGGATGTCGTCGTCTCGACTGCCTACACTGACCGTCTCATGGTGGAAGTACCTCGCAACGTTCATCACCCCCTTCTCAGTCGCCTCGCGTAACAATTCGCCTTCCTCTTCGCGCTCCGGATACTGCCATGAATCCTTGACAACCAGCGGCGTGCCGGGATCACCTTCCCGATGGACTCTCCAGCAAGTCGTTGCCCGGCCAGCAACACAACGCACCCGTTTTATCAACCTGTCAATAACAAGGCACTCTTTCCCATTCTCCCGCTCAATCTCAATGTACCGCTTGTCTCCGACTGTGACAATCGTCGGATCGAACCCCAGCTGCTCTTCGTTCATCCAGAGAAACCCAAGCATTGCAGACACGAACTGCAATCCATCTTCGTTGATGTCGAACTGCTCGGAAGCGATGCCCCCAAGTCGGTCGAATATCCATAGCCGCATGAAGGGTCCACAGAGAGTGAAGCCGATAACAAAGCGGCGGCTGTCTTGAGCAGCGAGCACCTCTCTCGCGTATCTGCCGAGATCGAGCCATGCCTTAGACGCTTTGTCGGCTGACGGATTGCTCTTGAGCTCTCCAGGTATGAGGATCTGTGACCATCGACATTTCGAGTTCACGCCGGCATTCGGATCGTCCACAAAGCCAATGTCCAGCTTGCGATTGGCAGTGGAGCCTTGCAGAGGCTGGTGCGGCTGGGCTAATGGTCGCCGGCGTATTCCAGACATCGGCCGATGCCCTTCTGCAAGGTCCAACAGCCGGTCTGTAAGCGGAGCAAACCAGCTCAGAACATCATTTTCCTTCGCCCCTTCAGGCCAGCCTTGCCAGCCGCTCGCCAACCGGTAGAGAGGGCTATCTCCTCCCTGGCACTTGTCGAACACGGCCTGTGCCGCCGGTCTCAGACCTGGCACATCTCCGAAGAACGCGTCGAAGAAGCCAGGTATGCCAACGTATAGGTGTCCTAGCTCCTCCTTTAGCACATCGTCTACGTGATTGCGGTGCTCGGTCGAGTTCGCGAAGCTGCCCGTGTTGATGGACAGGGGTGTTTGTTGGAAGGACGAGGTAGGGCGGGGTGGAGGCGTCGATTCGGTGATGGCATTGTAGACTGCATCCCAGACAAATTCGTCGGGCTGAAGTTTGAGAATCGCGTCGAGCAGAGGTCGTACTCGTTCGGCGTCGAAATCATCAGAACCAATTGCGGCATTAAGCCGCAAGAGGTCGTGAAAGAGGCTTTTATTCCCATTCTGAGAAGGTAGGAGTCGAGCGGCAGGGAGGCCTTGCAAGGCATATATAAGAGTAACCAGCAGGTCTTGGGTATCTGAAATGGCGTTAGAACTGCGCAGTAAAGATAGTCAGTTTGTACTACCTTCATAGCCCATCTGATCAAGCGCTTGCGAAGAGTTAGGGACGCCTATGTCATCGCATATCGAATTGAATGTATTGCGAAAGCCATCTAATCCTTCACCTATCGGTTTAGACTGTATGACTTGAGACCGCGATTGCGTAGACATCCTCGAAGAGGCATGAGCCGCCAAAAAGTGCCACAGCGCCGTCGCGCACACAGTCGCTCACAATCCTACGTGATCCGGAAAGGGTGAGATAAGACCAGGAGTGACGAAAAGAAACGTGCGATGTAGGGTAGCGATGGCGAGAGAAGGTAGCGGCTGCGCGCGACAACGCGCGGGCCCAAGGAGGCTGGCGGTGCTGCTGGAACGGGCGTAGACTCGGATCGAGGTTCGACAGAGAGCGCTTCATGAGCGTGGGTACAGGATGGCGGGAGTTCGAGGCCAACTAACATTGTGTGGTGATGCTTCCTCCGGTTCCGTTCGTAAACCAGGGTGGCCGGCGACTTGCACGTGATACAATGAGTTGAGTCAGATGTTACGTAAGCGCGATCTCAACCTCGATGTAGAAGAATCACAGGTCACGCAGCTCTCGTTGGATTTTGCGCTTTGGTGACAGGTCGTTGTTGCTGCCCGCGATTAGCAATCGATGTGTCGGGCGAGAGGCTTCATATGAGCGCTCGGACGCCAAGAGTAATTTGATTGTACAACCACATCGCCGCCTCGCTGTGATGTGGTCGCGCGTTGCAGGATTTGTTTCTTGGGTTTGACCACCACCAGGTCAGTCTAGGAACCAATAGAATTCAATATCGGACCCGCATTCCTCTCCACACATGCAAAACTGTGTGTAACTGTCGGGTCTGAGATGTTGCACAAACGAAAATGCAGCCGAGAAATGTTTGCTCCTAACGTTTAAGCTTATATCTGGCCACACTCCACAGAACAGTTAAACACATTATCCTTTCCTTCTTTGAACTACAAGCGATGTCTAGGTGGCATAGAGATGTCTGCCTTATCTGTTCTGTGTCACTAGACTGCGAAAAGCAATTTTCGGACATCCGTGCTATACCTACGCAACAGGGTTACGGCATACTTTTCCAGCCTCCAGAATTCCGGACTAAACCAAGAAGGCTCCAATGGCCAAACTTCCGCTCAACTTGTCAGGTGCACTTGGCTGGCACGCTTCCCAACGCTCTTCTGGTCCACTATCACTGTATTCTCATCCTATGCTGGGTACGCCGAAATGCACCTATACTAGCTCTGACATCGACACTACCGCAGATCTCTCAGCCTTGCTTTGAGCCTCCACCATCACGGTTAGAGTTCGACATATACCGTATGTTCGACCATGTCAAAGATCCTCTGGTCCAGCGTCTGATGGAAGCCCCGGTCGAACTGTTCAATGCGATCACCGCCTACCTCCCACCCGACCAAGCTCTCGCTGTAGCTTCTATACGCGATGCTCTGGTACTCAGCCCAAGAAGGTTGATATCTCCATACCGTTCAAGTGTATCGGAGATTATCAAATCGTACTCTTCTCGAAGACGTCTTGCACATTTGTACGAGGTCGCATCCTATCTCCAAGGCCAAAATGTTGAAGTCGGTTCTAGAGATAGGGAGGTGGGCCTCAGCCCAGAAACCAACGCAGTCTTTGTTGCTGTTGGTGGGAGGCGCTACCTACATGATTTTTGCGACGGAGACCATTTAGCATCAAACGGACGATCTGGTTTCAGCACAGTCTGGATGGGGTTAAAGAATCCAAACCAAGTCGCATTGATGGTTGATGAATTTGGGATTGTCGACGTGGCGTTTGAAGAGGACAACGGCCAGTTGCAATGGATACTAGGAACAGAGCCTACTACTCGGAACATCTTCTTAGAGAGAGCTCCGACAGGAATACTAAGCAGCATCAAAGTCACCTACGATGTAAGTTATATTCACCTTGTGTGAATTGGGATTTTACTAACAAATGCAGTCTATAAAATGCCGTTCTATAAGACTACTCCCATGCTCTGGCGCCCGACCCCGACCACTTCTTCTTCCTAACTCTGGACAATGGATTCCCTGGAGCTTCTATCTTGGAACGTTATTTACCTTTCCTCATGACGATTACTTTATTCCTACTGTGACCGACATTGTCACGCCAGGCATTATCTATATGTCCTATCGACGCGATGGCGTGATTTCTGGCATTCATAACAAGCCAGAGGGAAACTGCACACAGATACTTTTGGGCCCTCCGGCTGAGACAAGAAGTGTGAAGTTTCTCGTCCTTTGTCATAGCATAACAAAGTCACAGATACCGTGTATACAGGTAAGAAGACAACGTCTCACTACTTATTTATTATCCACTAATGCACACAGTTCATCCACAACAACAGAGCTATTCCGCCACTTCCCACGGCTTTTAATGTCCAGAACGAAGAGGTTCATAGTGAAGTGAAGGCGATCTGGTGGAGCAATACGTGGAGAAGTGGCTTTTTGTTCAACGTAATCAAATAAGCAGTAGATCTTGTTGGTCTAGGGCATCAAAGTTGTGTGTTTGGGCGGGTGAGCTGTTGTTGTCGACGATCTAGTCCCTAGAGTGAGTGGCTAGCTTGCCGATCCTGTTGAGAGCTTGTTATCAGTGTACAAGAAGGGGGGCAGAGGCTTCTTATTGAGGATAACGTTAGCAAGCGTGAATTGCGGTATATAGTAGCCTTAGCAAGTGAGCGTAGAAAATCTTGGAACTTCTGAAATTACCATTCTCTCACGTATAGACTCCGCAACAATCAATTCAATCCGGTCACTCTCCTAGACCCACTTACCTATCTAGGTAGGGCTTAAACTCCTATAGGTAACTACTAGGCTTAAAGCGGTAATCAATCAATCCAATCTGAACCTTCTAGGACCCACTTAATTGATTGTTGCGGACTGTGCTCACGTATGTGATATGGAAGGAGAATGAAGGACTGAGTTGATATAATAGCTATGAACGAATGGAGCTATGTATATGTAAGGAATGAAAGAGTATAGGGATAACCATGTTGGCGTGCAACACAATCGACTGAGTCCCTACGCCTTACTGCTACTGCTGCTGCGGCACCGGGCCGAATTCAACCTGCTGTCTCCCTTCGACTGTGACATATCGATAATACCTCCCGTATTCCACGCTCCAGATCCATTGCCCGGGTGGGACTGCCAGAACGTTATAGTTTGCCTCAGCGTAGCGTTTCACCTGATCTGCTTTCGCTTGTACCGTACCACTTTCCAATTTCGTGGCCTGCTGTGTCCTTGGGTCTATTTTGTATAAATGCACCTCTGTTCGTGTAGCGTGATAAACAGCGAAGAAGAGTTCAACATCATTCCTTGTGCTCTTATGAAGAACTTCTTGGCCACAGAGATGTATTGCTTCTTCGACGTTTCCATCTCCCCAGATCATCGTAATGTGGAATGCGACCGTGGTCCCCTTTGAAGCGACGAGTTGGATGTATGGCGGGTCATTGTCGGACTTGATATCCCAGCTATCACCTAAGAGTCCCTTCAGGTAATTGATCGTTGGCAAAGTTCCTTCCTGGACACTATAGAGAGGCGTGAGAACTTGAGCCTCATAAAGCAAGAAAATTCCTTACCTTGACATTGTGCTGATTGTTTGGGACGATAAATTGATATTCGATGTGAATCACTGGCTTCGTGCTGCTGTTTGTTGGGAGAGTGATAGTGTGGAAACCTGACTGGGAGGATCTGTCTTAAAATACTACTTTCTTCACCCTATGCTCAATTATGCAGATCTATTGAAGGGAATAAATTCACCACCCAACCTGCTCGCCTAGTCTTGAAACTATGCCGTCGCATGATCGGTGAGCTATCTCATTAACCTGGCTAAAGCTGCAGGGAATACAGCTGCCATGTAGCGAAGCACATTTCTATCAGGGTTTCGCTTCCTTACGGCCGGCGACACGTGTAAGCTCATGGCATATTGCGGTAAGTGGATTGATGTACAGTACTGCTCACATCAGCTTCGGCCTCTAGCAGAATGAACAAGGAGACATAGGCCACGAAGCAACTTTCATCGACTGGCGCCACTACATTACGAGACGCCACGGCGCTATCTTCCCCACCCTAGCCTCCTTCCACGACTGCCTCCTCCCCAAGCTCGATACAGATGACATGAAACCTCTCATTGTTCTGGTCGCGCTTCTGGTTGGGCTCCATCACGTTTCAGACTCGCGCCTTCGCTCACAACTCGTGCCTTCGCTTACCAGTAACACGCGCCTTTATCCATCACTTGCGCCTTTAGCTATCACTCGCGCCTTCGCTAAGCCTTTGCGCCTTGATCCAGAACTTGTTCCTTCACCCTTGTCGTCTTGGTCACATATGTATTCTTTGGGCGGGAAGAGATCCTACATAAGATACCCGGTCTTGAGGTGATGGTACGCTTCGCTTATGTCCTGTGCCACAAGTCTAGGCACAGCGCAGTTCCGTGATGGCGTCACGGCAAAAGTCGGTTGACTTACTCTAGTACACGTAGGGTATGGCCATGCATGTCGCCTGGGTTCATGCATCGCTAGAACATTGGCGCAGGTAGAATAAATCGTTTGGGGCGTGCTTTGCCCTCTGCTCTGCGCTTTGCTTTCCTCTCTGCGCTGCGCTTTGCTTTCCTCTCTGCGCTGCGCTTTTATTTCCACTCTGCGCTGCGCTTTGCTTTTCCCCCTGCCCTCTACTCTGTGTTTCGCTTCGCCCACCTATTCTCCCGTCATGGCTGATTGGCTCACCAAAGAACTTGAACGAAAACGAACCACTTTCGAAAGCGATGATTTTGTGCGGCCTTCACCAACACGTATCAAAGAATGGAATGACACGCTGAAAGAAGAATTCTCCTCGTTAAGCGGTAGATCCAGCGGACGTCGAAGTGTCTTGCGTCGCGCGCGGGATGTTATGCGAAATGTTCTGCACAGCGTTGGCCCTGAAGTACTGTTGTTGCTTGTCACGACAGTGAAAATAGCAAAGAGGGCAACATTGGATTCCAAGACGCTCGTGCCTGAACTGCGGACGTGGTGGGCTGCGGTCTTACACCCTCCAGCGCTCACTGCAGTCGCCAACACTTGTTTCAAAGCGCGTAGTCAAACAACACTAACTCAAGAAATTCCGACCAAAGCCATCTCTACTAGACAACGAGCAGTGCACGAATTTGGTACGACTGAATTCCTCTTAAAAGTATGACTCTAAACACTACAGAACATGCTATCGTCCTCGCGTCGCAGAGCATCCCGGACTTAAACGATCGGAAAGCATGGCTTATGAGTACTCTCGTTCATGTGCAATTGCTGCAACAATCCAGCTGCACTGACGAGACAGCAGATCGTCTCCACGTCGCTGAGATAGCGGATCTGAATGAGATAGAAAGTTATCTCGGGCGCTATCTTTATTTACGTGTTCAGGCTAGTCACACAAGACGCACCGAGGAGCTGGATGGCTTTAAAGGCACGAACGCCGTTCGTCTGTACCTTGCGCATGAGCTTGGCGTGGATTTCAGATTAGAGGTCAAGATAGATACTTTGTATGCGAAGCCCATCAGCGAAAATGCACGGTCAATGGGTGACTGGGAGGAGATACTTGGGACCTTCCTTTACGCAGGTATGAAGGCTAGCAGATCAAGGAAGGTTGAGGAAGAGCTGGGATTGAAGCTCACTGGCGCTGCAAGTATCTCATTTCCAGAGGACGGTGCCTACGATAGCAAACTGAACGTCATGTTAGATTTCGACTCAGGCTATAAGGCGTGGCTAGGCTTATTTCGTCGCTAAACCTTCGGCACCAACCTAAACCACATCTCTCCAACAGCGACACTTTGCCCCTTATATAGAACGACATTTTCACCTTTCTCGCTAGTGTTCTGTGATGTCATCTCGTCTTTACCAACACTTATTTTACCGTTACCAGGCTTCCAAAACATGACCCTATCATATGTGACTGGTCCGAATATGCGATAGCTGATATACTCAAAGTCATCGTTGGCGATCTGCTCGTCCTGATGTTCCTCGTAAGCTGGGAGCATTAGGAGGTTGGAAAGAGTCGGCCCTACCTGGGACATTTGCGATGAAACAAGCGTTAGGATGGTTTCTGTCCAGTTGCGACGCGTATGGGCGAGAGGCGGCCTGCGGCCCAGGATTGAGGAGGGCTTGCCGCAGTTGTGGAATGTACACCGTGAAAGATACGGAGGAGGTAACGAAGATGTGGGCTTTTCGAGCACTCGTCGGCGTAACAGCGGCTTCTAGTGGAAAGGTTGATATCAGTATACGCTTGGACGTGGTGAAAAAAATTACTTACTCCAGAGGACTAATTCAAGACCACACTCGGATGGGTGCAAGAAACGGCAGAAAACTTTGCATCTTAGCTAGGAGAAATCAATAGCAGTCGCGATCTTCAGAATCTAGAGAAAGAGCTTTGTTTACCTGTTCGTTGTGTAGATTGTTCGCGAGAGCAAAACGGCGGCGATGTGTTATAAGGGTACGGGTGCGTTGATGCCCAAGCAGTTGGGTTAGAGGGGCAACAACATTTCGGCTGCCCCACCTTCCACAATTGGCACCATCACGTGCGACAGCTCAACCATCAGGTCACACTGGTAAATCCCAAGTCGAGTAAGCTATGTCGCATAACGTGTTCCATCAGTAAGTAGCCCACCCTATCAAAGCCAACGCGACTCTCGACTCAACAACAAAAACGCCACGATAATAATGTTGTCAATAGACTTCTTGCGAAGGTAGACTTCTTCTAGCATCTCGTGCGCTTTAAGCAACGTAGGAGAAACCAGCGGCGTTGGGATATAGCTCGTAGGGGAGCGCTACAGGCTCAGCAAGGCCAGCAGCTCACTGTAGAGGCAGAAACGATGGTCGCGGAGGTTGAACAAGTTCAGGCTACTCAAGAACGTTAAGAGCACACCGCCAACTTGTACGAAATGTCACGTTCAAGGGCACACGCGGACTCAATGTACTAGTATCTAAAAAAGCTATCTGCTGAGACAAAATGTGAGCACACTTTGCCATTACGTTGACTGGTATAAGTACCCTTCCAACACTATCTATAAAATTCTATCTCATTATGTTTTGTTGTCGTAGAGCTATCGTGCAGAGACTCGCGTCGGCTTTGGTGGGGTGGGCCACTTACTGATGGAACACAACTTATGCACGACTAAGGATCACAAATGTAGCTAAGGGTAGTAGTGGGGAGTGACGTCATCTCATACATGTCGGCCTTTGCCTTTGCCTTTGCCTTTGCCTTTGCCTTTGCCTTTGCCTTTGCCTTTCCTTCTACTATATCTCTGGCATTTGTTTTGGGATTTACAGATTCCTACAGTGTGACTGATACCGTAATTGCTGCTGGATGATTCGTAGCAGCATAGAGGGAGACATAGTTGCAGGCGATGAGAGGGGTATGGGGTTGTAAATGTTAGTATCAGAGTCCGCAACAATCAATCAGATCGGCATGATTGATTCCTATCTAAGTATAACACTTTCCTGATCAAGTAATCACTAACTTAGGTAGGAATCAATCATGCCGATCTGATTGATTGTTGTGGACTCTGGTTAGTATAAAGTACCTCATTCACTCTCTATTTCTTCAATGTCTCAGAGCTATCACCCCTCATCTTGCTTAGCCCGTTCCGTTTGCTCAGCGTGTTTCTCCTTCAGAACCCTCAATACCTCCGAAGTCCCCTGCTTTGCTGTCTCTTTTGGCAGTACTACAACGTCCGCTGATACCTTCTGTACCTCGTATTCTCGTGGTATCTGTCATAAGTCAGGCTCCTTCTCTAAGCACATTCTCGATTTCGGAAGGGTCAATAAAAGTGTGTGCTAACGAGCCTCTCATCCTTAGGGACGTCTCTGACATCACACGTTACCAAGGGGGAGATATCCAAGTGCAGCAATCTTTGATCCTCATCCACTCTATCCAGCCTGGCAGTCCAAGATCGGCCCGCTCATTTTATAGCCATCTGCAAGTGTGCAAGGATAATCGTCGTTGCTGGAGGTAGGCCGATTCAATCACACTTCCTTCTCCGCTGACATAACTAGTTCTTACCTTCACTCCAAAGGATCTCTGACCCACCGAACTGCCCATCGCCTTCTTCGCTGTTAGTCGCTGGTGAACTGCTTGAGGCTTGTGTCGAACACAGTACCTAACGCAAGCTGATCATTCTTTCCTCACTTCTCTGCCGACATTCCTAGCTCCTCTGTATGCTCTAGTAAGATATCGTATGCCAGCCCACTGTCTTCAACATCTTCACTATCGTCATGACGAGCAACCAACCTAACTCTTCCAACGGCTCAAGGACTACTGTTATAAGTCAGGCAGGCGGTAGCAATGCGAATGGTGGCAGTTGCCAAACTCAAGGGGACACGAGGAATGGGGCCGGACAAGCGTCGCAAGAGCCAGCGACGACTTCTGTAAGCTCCTTGCGAATTAAGAACAATTCTGCAAGCGCACAGGAGCTTCGAGTGTTCGCCGATTACACTCAAACACCTAATGGGACGCGATGATTCGTGTCAGTCTTCTCGGGTGTTCTAGCCAATGGCAGGCGAGCGAGGGAGCATTGTTTTTCCGGAAAAAGTCTAGTAATTTAGCGTAATAGTGCCCCGCATGCAACGCCACGTTGTCTAAGAATGATCTTGAATGCTTCACATGCCATTTTGGTGATATTAAAACCTTAATGCCTGCCCTTCCCTGCCTGATCGTAACTTCGACCTCCAGCACCACGACATTGGCTCCACTATGGTCCTTTTCATGGTCATAAACACAGGTCTTGCGGAGGAAGCCAGCAAAATCTCCGAAACGATCGCCTTGTTGCCCGAAGATCAGTGGAAGGATGTGGAATTTGAGAATGACACAGTACAAGCCAAAATAGCACTATCGTATATACCTGGAGAAGTAACGTCTGCGTTCAGAGATCAGCTCAACAAAACTATAGTATGGTAGATACAGATCAATACCAAGAGGGCCATTTGCTAATACGATGCAAGGTGCAAAGAGTCCAGCAGCTGGTGAGGGACCTCGCGAGAGCGAAGATACGGAAGGCAAGGCCCAAAGAATACGAACTTCCGCCCGCAGTGCTTAAAGCCCGGTCAATATCTCAGGAACCACCTAACTGGCTAGAGACTTCCAACCATGAGATCATCATTTTCCAACCTTTCTATACCCTCAACAGCAACGCGAAGTTACAGCTGCGAAGCAAGCTGACTGGGAAGAAAGAAGAAGTGGAATTGCAGCATGGTGCAGTCATATTAGTTTTCGGAGGGGTCATGTACCTGCCGGAACCATTGGATACTCCAATTCTTACACAAAGACTGTTCACCGAGCCGACACATGATTAGGAATTAGTAGTAATCAGAAAATATATCGACGTCTCCCAAACGTTCGTTCCCTATGCGCATGTCTGCGACCCAAAGGGAAGGAAGCTCGTTGTCATTCGAAACTGTGGTACTGTTCGCTGCCCTCCCGGTACTACCATGCTCTGATGCACCGTATTGTGTCCTGACCATGCCTAAAGTGTTTGGCGACAATTGCGTTCGATCCTCAGGATCGGAAGAAGGCTCCAAGGACTGTCCAACCTGGAATGAGCTTGCGTATGAGGAGATTGGCTGCTGGTACGTTCCGGTTGCAGCAACCCCCATGTAGCCATGGCTGTCATGTTGCAGTGACTGAAGGACATTTACTGCAGACATGATATCTAGGAATTGAAAGTCTTCATGAATGCATCGCGCATTCTCTGAGGTAGTGGTGGAGTCAATCTGCTCATCTTCTCGCATGATATCCGGTTGCGGTCGATGGTCGACGTCGGTATCACCGGATGAGGCTTCAATGTATGATTAGTAAGATAAAAAAATCGTTTTCGAGAGATTTACCTTCTTGTTCTTCATCACAATCCTGACGCTGGCTTGTCGCTGCTCGGCCTGTGCCCCACCTTGACGACGAAACATGGGAGTTGTGATTGCTGGTCCGTCGAGACGACTCTAGGCTCTGTAATGCAACCATGGCATCGGCACTACATGCGGTGACTGCTTGATGATTGGGGACGCTTCCTGACTGTCTCACTCGGCCATCCGGTCCTACGTTGCCATCGCACGGAGTCTCGCTATGTCCTGCTGTTGCCGTATCGTTACAAGGAGTAGGTACATCCTCATTGCCCGTCTTGTGCCTCTTCCTCGCGGAGTTGGCGCCGACTGTCAAATGATGTTTAAAGCCGTTAGCTGGTATGGCTTCCCTGCTTGCAGTCTGATGCTCGTTCGCTGGAGGTTCAATTGATGTAGGAGAATTCTCCTGGAAACTTTGGTCAGGCTGTATAGCCGCTTGTGTACCAGGCAACGTTATATTGGAGGGCACTCCAATATTCATTTCTAGTTCAGGTCCTGCTATTGTTGTTGCTGTCGTTGTTGTCGTTGCTACCAGAGCACGACTGACGGAGATAGATTTCATAGCTGACTCGATGACTTGTCGACCATTGAGATGCTTCCTCGGAAGTAGCACCCCATTGAGGACAAGCGATTCCATGTCCACATGTTCGCCGATTAACTTAGTCAATCTAGTGCTGCCTTTTGCGATGGTGGTATCTGTAAAGCCTAAGACTCGAAGATCAGAAACAAGCTCGTATGCAATATCCAAATCTTGATCTCTGTAGTGGCGGTCTATATCTGGATGCTTTTCCTGGCGATAGATGCATAACGCCTCCACGTCATTATCGGTGAGTCTTTTTATACTGCAACGTGTTAGAGTGTCCCTATATTAATGATCTTTATGCTTACTCTGACTTCGCGCCATTAATGTAATGCAGAGAAGCCGGACCTCCAAATTCCATACATATAAGGTCCTTGCTGCCCAAGTTGTACGTCTCGAGCACATCCTTCTTTCCTACTTTTAACTCTTTACTAATCTGGCTCAAAGCAAAATCCTTGCGGTTCTGTCCTCGTGCAAGTTGAGTTGTCGACAACGTAGCAAGATCTACTGCATTTGAGAAATAGAGTCGAGTTTTTCGACACAAAAATGATTTAGGTACCATCTCATACACCTCCTTTGCCTGTGCAATTGGATCTTTCGAACTGACACTTTTGAAGACACTGCTTCGATGGGGGTTTCCAGCCTTAGCAGTGCTTTGGGCGATCCTTGTCATCGTTTCGATTCGTGCCTTCTTTAGATCTGGGTATCGAACTTTAAAGTACGCTGCCACAGGGTTTGGATTTTTGGATGGGGAAGTAGCGACTTCGTGTGGCTCGGTGATATCGTGTAGCGTGGCGTCATCGCGTGGCGTAGCAGCATGTGGCGTGGTGCTAAGTGGTTCGGAGGTATCGCGTGGCGTAGCAGTGTGTGGCTGGTGTAATTGTTGTGCAGTCACATGGGCGGTCGGGGGTGGGGCCCGGAGACTTTGAATGCATGTAAATACTTCTTGAGCCCCTAAATCCTCAGGAAGAAGTTCACAGTACTCAATGCAAGTGCCTTTTTTGAAGAATTGACGAAAACTGGTTCGCAAGGCCTAAGCTAATGTAAGTTTTCTGCTAGCACTTCCCGCAAGACCCTTACTCACAGAGTCTCCCACAACCGCGGATGGCGAAAATAGTTCCAGGACTTGTATCAAGTCTTGAGATCTCTGTGATGCCATTTCCGTAAGAGAGGGCATTGAGATTGAGGTTCGCAGGAACGCACTGCAAAGGGGATCCCGAAAGTGTTTACATTTGGGCTGCGAAATCTCAGTCCAAATCTAACCGATTTTGGGAATCGCCCTCCATGCACCACCATGCGCCATCATGCACAGGTGGCTACCGCCCTGCACTTTGCTCCTCACCCTGGTTTGCTTGACGCTAACCACCGGAAACTGGATACAGCACTAAGTATTTTGCTTATACCAATCATATTATGCTAGATGCCAAGCGATAAACTAAACAGCATGTGCAAATAGATTAGGCTGGCTTAGGCAGTTGAATTGAACTCGATGTGCAGAAGGATGTGTTGCATCGAGACCATGGCTACCAGTCTGTGACAAGCTGTCTGCGCAATAACCTTGATTGAAGCAAATACCGCGACTCCGTCTTTGTCCCATGTCCCGCATGTCTTCGCTTCTTTCGCCACCGGGACCGAGAGGCCGGACCGACGCCATTCCCGGGTAAGTTGTTGCCGAGCCACTTCGAGATCCATATGTTTGTTGAGTTTAGGACACAGGCGAGCTGACAATCGAATGGCTGACGTTCATGTTGTATCATGCATCAATCCAAGACTATGCTATACCAATTCATGTTCGACACGGAACGCCAACCTAGGTGCCTCCAGTTCGTATTGCGTAACACGCCGCTTCTATCCAAACAAGAAACCTCAATACTACGAGTCCACGGACATTTAAATACACAAATGCTTTTTCGTTAGCCCTGCCTGGTGTTGCAGCCTCGGGTACTCTAGACGTGTACCCACGTTCGCCTCTCCTCGTCCGCCACCAGGGGGCGTCTGGTTAAAGCTATTCCATGCTGGGTTTGGTGTCACCAAGATTGAAAGCCCAGGAGATAGCAAGGTCCGAGGTTTGAGGATCCCAATATATCTACATAGCCAACAAGGCTGAGACATTCTTCAATTCTTGCCCCATCGTCTCTGCGTCCTTCACCGGTTGCCTTCCTGCACGGCACTCACTTTCAAATGGCTCAAGCTGCAGCACCTGCCGCCAACGCGGCTGTATGTAACCAAGCCCTGTTGTTATCACCGCTGACCCCGAGGATAGGCCTCGAATGCTGTTGTAGCATTTACTGAATACCCGAAGTATAAGATTCTTGTGCCAGGGCATTTCTCGCCCGATGACTCTGAAATACTCAGGGATCTGCAGGAGCAGGCCATACAGGCTGGTGCTGTGTCGGGAGTGAGAAAAGACACAATGGTCAACATGGCAGCATGGACGAACGAAGCCTCGGCAAGACCCTGTATACACATCAACTTTTGCCCTATCTCAAGAGGCAAATTTGATTACCTAGCATTCAGTCCCCTGTCTCTAGTAGAGGAATGTGGTTTTGTTATTGCAGGCGTGTGTGTTACGTCTATAAGGCAAATTTCGCAGTTACGCCAAGACTCGAAGCTACCTAAAATCCCTAACACACTGGATGACGAAATCAATGAGATCCTAAGAAGGTATGTTAACGTAGTATACAATCCAAAACTCTTACTAATTAATGCAGGCTCGAGTCGAGATTTGAGTGTAACCGCGTTCACCAAGATCATGAAGTGCGTGCCATTAATACGCGCATCGAGATAATGGCTGACCCTTACAGGACACCTTAGATTGCTCACTCAGCACTACATCAGGCACTTACTTGCCTCACACGTCGAAACCTACAACGGAAGCGAGAGAAGAGAGTCCCGGGGCGATATCGCAACGTCGGCGACGAAATAATGAGTGGGATAGTTACGCAGCTGAAGCTCCTGAGCCGAAGCGCGCGCACACTGCACCGACCTCCAGACCCAGCTCTGAGTCCGCCCTTAAACAATCGACAATCACCCCTTCCTCGATACCAACCGCTGTACCAAATCTATGGGCGGATCTCGGCTTGGGGGTCAAATCTTCGGCGGATGCGTAGTGCGGGAATAGCATGTTTTCAGAGGTGCGACAAGACTGAATTAACCCTATGTCAGTGGAGTTTTGCATTGGAGTTTTGGAACAAGCGTATCCTTCCAGATATCCTTATTAGAGCATAAGATAATATATGCTGTTGCCGTCGCTTCTATCTTATCCCACAAGTTTACGTAGCATCCTGTCTGTGCAGTATTCAATAGATTGCTCCTACTTGCACTAAACTTCGATCATATGAAATGCATAGAGACTCCTCTACCCATCCCACGAGTGTTCGCAACGTTGTTCCTAGAGGCTCGGGCCGCGTAACCTCCCTTCTGCTGCATCAACTGCCTGACTGAACGAACTTCCCGCATGTGCTGATCGCTCCGTCACCACCCAACGTGGGATTTGATCGACGTAGTGTCCAATAAATCCAGGCCCATTCACTGCAGGAGGCCCATTCTCACTAGGTATACCGTGCCAATCTCGGGACGCGGTCTGTCAACAAAGCGTCCCCATAATGCGATCCACTTATGCACGGGTAGGATCTCTCTGGCTTAAACTGATGGCGCTTGAAGCCCATTCGGAATAACGGAGGCGTGCCGTGAGGGTTGCCTCATGCCTACGTTCGCGTGCATATCGTTTGTCCAAGGGCATGACTCGAGCCACCTCCTAGACACCAGTGGTGTCTTTGTGTCTAAAGCTTTGCTAGCAGGATGACCTGGCGCCAGTTGAAAGATACTCATATATCATGCACCCTTCCAGCGAGGCTGAGACGTCCTGCATCCATCGTCTCACCGCTCTTGCGTCCTTCACCGGTTGCCTTCCTGCACGTCCCGTTTCTCACAATGGCGCTATCTCCCACCTGCAAGGCGAAAGTACGTGCCACTATCCCTGTTACGCATCGATCCAACACTCACATAGAACCAGGGTGATGCATTAGGGACACAAAAAACAGAAGATGAGGAAAACGGTTGCCTTGAATGGTTTTGGGGATGCATCGGTTGGACGAAACCCTGGAAAGCCACACTGGAGAGAAGACCCAATCCGTCGGACCGCCTCAGCTTTGGATATGCTGGCACCTCTCAGTCCATAGGTTTGAGCACGAAAGCCTCTGTCGCCGACAGCAGCGCATCCTCCGATGTATATTGTGCGTAGCTCTACTTTCCTGCTATGCTTGTATGAAGGAGTTAACATTGTATAGGCCCTCGCTCGACATATCATTGCTGGTATGAAGGTTGTGAAGAGATTCGCACTTTTCCAGACCTGATCGACTGGCACTATGAGAAGGATCACAATGGAGGAGGTGGCTATACGGCTACGAGGCAAGATGAGAGATCAGGAAACCCCGCAAATCCAAAGCAAGACACAGCAACGGCCACTGCTTCATGTCTACATGTCATGGAGAAACCGAGTGTGCTCAGCATCCTTAGCTGCAACGCTGACGGGCATGTTGACGCATTTGTCCAATTGGAAGACCAGGGGATGACCAAGCAATGGCCGCAATTGTACAGCCTGGCAGAATTTACAAACTAAAC